TAGCAGATTATTAAATTTTACAAACCTTCCTCAACCTGTGAATTCCAATAAAGTAACAATTATTGGTAATAATAATGGTAATTATCATTAATCATTCAATTATCAATTTAAAGTTTAGTATTGATATTAACATTAACATTATTATCATACTTGTAGTTTCTCATCTAATGGATATAAATATTTAGATTAATTGGAATTTTTTTTCATTTGATGTCAATATGCATACTAAAATAATGATTTTTGAAAAAAACAAACATAATTGCAGTATTATTTGTTTCTTACCTTTTCAAATCAATGATTTCATTTTTTTATAGCATTAACAAATTGAAGTGATGTACTATCAATATATCATATAATTTATATAATATAAATAATTTATTAATATTAAAAACCTTAAAATTTAATACATGTATCTGAATAATTTAAACATATACCTAAATTATCAAATAAAAAGCCAACTAACACATACTACATTATACTGATTGTGAGTTTTGTTGAATCAAATAATACCAAACTTCTGATCTTATTTGGAAACCCTGATCTGAAAGTTTTGATGTTTTCCCAATAGGAAGGGACACTATGAGTACATTAAAAAATACCACCTTCAATAGATAGCTAGGTTCTTCTTGTATTGGTACTAGCCACATTGATGCTTGAGAAAAGAAGAAATTTTCGAAATTAGAACCAGATACTGGCCACCAAAAATGCAAACATCTATCAAAAACCACAACCTTGCCTTCGAATTTCCTTTTAAAAAAGAAATAAATGTGTAAACACATCTATCTGCTTACCAAAATACGCCAGAACAAGTTATGGGAGGACCCTGGGATGGTGAATTAGGGCATTTCTTTAAACATGACAAATTTTAAAACCATGGAATGATCCACATCCACAGTTTACCTGCATGAAAAAAAAAAAATCTCACTTAATGCAATCCATGCAGACATTCCACCATGGAAAAAATATTGTATAATTTGGTCATGAAGTATCAGATTACACCATTGTAACCATCAAATGGAGAACCATGCTCCCTCAGCCATAATCAGACAAAACATATTGCTCACCCAATGTCTATTGTTGTGTAAAGCAAGAAGACAGGATGATCATTCACATAAATTTTCAATATATGATGTCCACAGGATTTGTGAAATACATCACAAATTTGACAAATACTAAAGACATATCATGATGAGGAGGCCAGATGCAATGGAATTGATGATACTTTTGCTCAAGTACCTAGTAACCAGACATTGAAAGTGGTGAGAAGAGTGGTGAGAGCAAGTAATCCTTGCTGTGATGAGTTAGATTCATCATTAAGATTTTGAGCATCTTGAGCTTCTGATGGGGTTTCATTTAAAGAAATATTTTCAAGCAATACTCTTTTTTTAGTTCCTCCTCATAAATTATTTATTTTTAGTATGAGTTTGAGAACTAACAGTTTTTAAGGATGATGGATTTGATGATGTTGTTTCTAGACTTAGAGTAGGACTACAATTATAACAATCATGATTTTCATAACCTTGTAATTCTATGATTTTCCTGTTTAATAATATTCTCAAACCAAAAAGTTAATTATTTTTAATTATGACAAAATAATTTCTTGCCACAAAACATTTCATTATGACATCATCAATGACTCATTTTTGACATTTAACTTTAGTAATTGTCAATCAGTCATCATTTATCATTCTATTTTATTTTATTTTATTTTATTGGACAAAATCACGTTATTTGTAATACTTTAAAGAAGTATAAATATGTTTGAAATCTCCTTTTAATGAAAAAATAATTGACCTTTCAATAATGACACTTTTGTAATAAAAATAACACATTTCATTAATTAATAAATCTGACATGATTGATTGATTCATAACCCTTTCTGATGATTTGGCCAACATTTAATTATTAGTTAGAGACCCCTTTTATTAGTCTTACTATATTGCTTGTAGGGACACCTCAAGTAGTGTAGTTGTATATTTTAGTTTAGTTTGAACATTATTGTGCCAGATTTAGTGACTCTGCAATAGAGTTGAGTTTCTATTTGTAATAAAAAATTTCGTTCGAATTATTCAAATCATTCGTTTTGTTTGAATTGTTATCATTCGTTTATTATTTGAATTTTATCATTCATTTATTAGACTTGTTATCATTCGTTTATTATTTGAATAGTTATCATTTGTTTATTATTTGAATAGTTATCATTTGTTTATTATTTGAATAGTTATCATTCGTTTATTATTCGAATTGTTATCTATCATTTGTTTATTATTCAAATTGTTATTAATAATGATTAAAGTGAATAATTCGAATAAACCTTATTCGAATAGAAACCCTATATTAAATATATTTAGATTTATCTAAAAAAAATTAAAATTTTATCTGAACTACAACAATTCAGCATTGACACCCTAAAGTCATAAAACTGTAATAAATATTGCAAGCATGCAATCAGAGTTATTGTAGTCACCAAATCTGGAAAACTAAATTAAAATCACTAGACACAACTATATGCTTGATTAGGGTTTCTATTTGAATAAGGGTTTATTCAAATTATTTGTTTTACTTGTTATGAATTTGAGTATTTGAATAAAATGAATAATGAATAATTCAATAATTCGATAATTCAAATAAAGCGAATGCACAAATAATTCAAATAAACTAATTAAATAAATAATTCAATCAATAATTTAATTAAAACAAATAAACGAAGAATAATAATTCAAATAATTCGAATAGTTTGGATAAAACAAATAAACAAATAGTTCAAATAAACAATTCGAATAATAAAATAAATAAACAAAATAAAATGAATAATTCAAGCAAAACAAATATTTGAATAAACGAATGATGATAACAATTCGAATGATAAACAAATGATGTCAATTCGAATGATAAACACATGATGTCAATTCGAATGATAAATGAATGATGTCAATTCAAATGATAAATGAATGATGTCAATTGAATGATTTCAATTCGAATGATAAACAAATGATGATAACAATTCGAATGATAAACAAATGATGTCAATTGAATGATGTCAATTCAAATGATAAACAAATGTATGAATTTGAGTATTCGAATAAATTTTCATTCGAATAAAACGATTATTCGAATAAGAAAATTGATTCGAATAAGAAAATTAATTCGAATAAAACGAATTATTCGAATAAGACAATTGATTCGAATAAGGAAATTGATTCGAATAAAGAAATTAATATTAATATTAATATTAATTTGAATAAAGCAAATAATTCGAAAAATTAATTCGGATAAAACAAATAATTAAGGTCCAGTTTAAATTCAAGCTCACTGGAAAGACTGCTATTTATTAAAAGAAACATGAATCTTGTTTCAGTCTTTCCTTATTAGTTTCATTTTTTAGTTTCAATTTTTATAATAATAAAATCAATATTAAACCTTGTTGTATATATAGTTTGAATATTTAAGTAATTGAACAACCCATGATTCCAAATAATCTAATAAAATGAATGAACAAACCCAAGATTCCGATAATGAATAAAACAAATAAAACAAATAATTTGAATAAAGCGAATTAAATTTTTAATTCGAATAAACTTTTTAATTCGAATAAAATTTTTAATTCGAATGAATTTTTTTAATTCGAATTAAAGGTCAACTATATTACGAATAATTCGAATAAGAATTTGTATTACGAAACCCTAATTGGTAGCACTCACAAAAAGTATAGTGAATTGGGATATGAGAACATTGGTTTGATCAAAAGAATCTTACAATGGATTTACTAAAACAAAAAATCTCATATCAAATATATCCTATCAATTCTAAGTAAAAAAAAATTTTTTTTGGAATAAGACTAGCATATATACTATATGTAACTATTCTCATCGATGAGAACATATCTGCCGAAGGCCAAGCATGTGTAGCGTTGAGCAAAGTGAGCTTCTTGGAGAACTTGAACGTCCTGAAATTTGATTTTTCTCAAATAAAATGTTTAAAAAGTGCTTTGATCGATTATAAGAGATTGGGGAAAAGCCAAGTTTGTATGTTTTATTGACAGATAATAATAAAGGTGAAATTAAAAAATGTGGAGGTGAATAAAAAATCTAGATATTTTAGACATGGAATTTAGGACAATAAGAAGTATTAGACTTGAAAACCTTGCTTAGCTATATTTAATCAAAACAGTTTATGTATAAACATATATATTTTAAGTATCATTCATTGGTTGTGATCTTGGTAGCAGAACAGATTCTGCATAAATTTTTCAGGTATTATTTCAATATATTAAGTTGTTAACAATTTTCATCTATATAGGAAATCTTTTAAATTTTCTCCTGATAATAAATAAAACATACAATTACTAATAGCCTTTTTCTAAATATAAAAAATACAATTATTATATATTTGAATTAACTTTAAATTTTTGTTTCAAAATTCTATCGTAATGACATAAAAGGTAGTTTTCACAAGGTTTGTAAAGATTTAACTAAAGAACCACCTGTAAAAATCGCAAGGCAATTACCTTTTACGTATGACGGACCACAATACCTCAGGTCTTTTACAATTTTAGCTTGTATTTTAAAATTTTTGAGTGTAGAATAGCGGGAGGCTGCTTTATTATGGAGGTACTTTGATCCATCATATACGGTAATATTAAGCAAAAACTAGAACTTCGATTTCAGTTAAGTTTTATATTTTTTATTGCATGATACTAAAGTTTATTTGATATTATATTAATAATTGTTGAACACGAATTCCTTTTGATTTGCTAATATATATAATTTAGGAAGAATAAATAAAGAAATAAAATAACCAAACACATTTTATTTATTATTTAATGTTTGTTTGAGTAACGAAAATTGTTGCACGTCTTTTTCAATAAATATTTCTATATATGTTATTACTATCAAGTAAAATGACATTCATAATAATGAATCTCCGCAAATAATTATTGTAAAACAATTGCATATAAATAGCTTCATTTTTTTCCTAATAATAATATTGATCAATTAATTATGGAATCCGAAAAAAATAAGAGAGATTTTAATCCAACTCAAGAAGCTCAAACTGAAACATCTGTTCCATCACAACTTCCGTCAAAAGATACACTTGTTGAATATTCCAATACTTGTAAAGACACATCTTCGGAAAATCAAAACCGTATTACCTCTGATGAAGATACACTTGATCCATTAAAACTTTTTTCTCATTTAGTCTTGTTGAATCAATTCAAGAAACTTGAATTAGAAGATGAAAAGATTGATGCTAGATATTTGCTTCATGCAATCAATCGTTATATTTTATGGTTGAGGATGTTGAATGAACAAGTGGAACTCAAGAAAGAAGATTTGCCAATTCCACCAATTGATGTCTGTTATATTTGGCACTCTCACTGCTTGTCACCAATCAATTATTATGAAGATACTTATAGACTGCATAATATAAATCTTAGTTACTATTATATTCCTTTAGAAAAAATGGTAACTATTTGACTTTCTTTTTGCTGGTGAAAAAATTAATAAATTAATTGACTAAATTAATTAATTAAATTATTAGCTTAATGTCTGGTTGACAAATGATAATTATGAACATATTGACCAACAATCCAAGGTTTTATGGGAAAACTATACAAAAATGCCATGGATTCTTGATCCTAATGATGATTCTGATTTTATTCTTGTGTGTCCTTGGTGTAATGATTCAAATTTTGTCAAATGGTAATTAACTTTAAACAACAACAACAACAACAACAACAACAACAACAATAATAATAATAATAATAATAATAATAATAATAATAAGTAATCTATAAATATATCTAACTTCAACAATTTAATATTAATAGGGACAAATATGTTGATTTAGTAAAAAACCCAAATGATGAATCTTCATCAATTGTGTGCAATAAATGTAAAGTTATTTTAACTCCAGACAATTTATCAGCTAAAAGATTTCTGGATGACATTAATGATTGTATTAGCCACACAGAAAATAAATATACCAGGTATAAAAATAAATCAAACATTGTCAATATTAATTAAAGATTATTAATTATCTACATATCTATCTATCTATAGTGGAACATTGTTTAATCATGGAACTGGTGAAATTGATGCAAAAGCTGCAAGTGATGATATTGATTTGCTTTTTTCATCAGCTGTTATGCAAGAGGTTCCTAAATTAAAAGAACTTTTGGAATCATCAAAAGACAGTTCTTTAAGTTGTAATTGGGAAAATATCAGCCAATACTTGTCAGAATCAATTGCCTATCTAAAGAAAGAGAAACAATTCAAATTATTAAAAAATACCATAGTTAAAAAAGTCATTATATCTTACAAAGATAATATCTTTCCATTTGCTTTCAGCTTGTTGGATGCAACCAACAGACAAAGAAAGTTCACTCAGAAAATGGTGGTTGATTACTATTATTGGATTTGTAATTATCAAATACAAAATAATGCTATTAAAAAATATGAATGTTTCATGAAATTGATTGGTAAGAATCCATATAAATGTATTGTACCAACATTAGATATTGATTTAGCATGGCATACACACATGCTGAATCCAAAATTTTATAAAAAATATACCATGGAAAAAACCAAAAGATTTATCAATCATGATGATAGTATAGAAGATCAAGTCATTGATAAATCATTTAAAAAGACTTGCAAACTATGGTACAAGGAATTTGATGAACTTTATACCAATAAAATTGAACCTTATGATTATTTATTCAGTAAGACACAAAAAGTTTTTGGAATTTTAGCATTTCCTTTTGGTCTTTATATGCTTTTTGAAACTATAAAGGCTACTGAAGTCTATAAAAAATCAAAAGTTGGTGGATGTGCAATTAGTAATAATACCGGAACAAGAAAAGTGGAACAATCTGAAAGTTTCTCCAAGAGTCATGGCAGCAGTAGTAATGATAATAATTTTATTTTTGTTGGTTGTGGTGGTTGTGGTGGTTGTGGTGATGGTGGTGGTGATGGTGGTGGTGATGGTGGTGGTGGTGGATGTGGTGGTTGTGGCGGATGTGGTGATTAAATACAATAGTTATGTTATTTTATTAAATACTCATTAAAGTATGACATGCACTTCTTTTTATATAATTGAGTCTCTGTTATTATTCTATTGAAGTTCCGATTTGGCACTGTTAATTAATTGGTTAAAAATGTGTTGGGTATGTACACTAAGAGTTGTGTTATATTGATATCACTGCATCTTTAAAGTATTTTTAAAAAAGTGTTTGATTAATTTTTTAAACATTTTCAACATCATTCATGTTTCCCATAAAAATTATTTAGTTTACTCAGTAGATATTGAATAATTCCAACTGTTCAAAATCATAATCATATGGTGCAAATAGTTTAAAGACTTCCTGAAATTTGTGCAATCATTAAAAGAATACGATTCAGTGTATATGTAATGCTTTGAAACTTTAACTCTATTCATTGAATGTATTCATATGGTGCAGCCTATACATGAAGTCGAAATTAAAACCCCAAAGTTGAAATGTTTCAACTTGAGGCAACTACATGTATAGTAAAAATCAGTTTCAACCTTAATTCGACCCTATTTCAACCAGATCTGCAAATGGTCGAAATAGTTGACTTCATGTATAGTACAGCCAGTCTAAAGATAATAATTACTGTGGCAAAGCCTGAAAAATTTACCTCTTGAATGGTCAAGCAATAAATTTCGGATTTTTTAATGCATTGAAAGCTTCCAATAACATTGTATTGTAATTGGAAGCTCTATTGGAGCAGTTTGGAAGTTTGGAAGTCATAGACTTTATCCAGCCAATAAAATTCCAATAATAAAATAAAACGTTTTTTGACATTTTTTTTAATCAAAATGGAAATTTTTTATTAAAGATATTTACCATTAGTTGCTGATTCCATAAAAGTCTTTTTTCACCCATGAATTTTACTAATTTTTTGGGAAGCATGAAAAGGTGAAAATATATCATAATTGGTAATTTTTAAGATGACCAAATCAAAAATTTAGTCTTATTAAATTGGTTTTAAGCAAAATAGAGCCAGATGTAGATATTGTGACTTGAGTTAAATGATGCTGTTGGAAGATGTGAATTGCATTTAAAGAAATGTAGCTCTGTACCAGTATCTGTTCTACAATCACTGTTTGGCTGAACATAATATCATCATTAGCATCTTCAATTACGATTCACAAAATTACCCAATAAACAATTTTGTTGATAGAATTTCTAAAAAGAATTAAAATTATTATTGGTTTATTTCTTTCACTTTGTGGCAAAAAGCTCATCCTGTGTTTGATTTGCCTAGAAGAAAAAACTTTCAAATGAATTTATTGTTCAAGTTATTGAAACAAGAGAAAAGATTGAGAAAGTGCTAAATATATAAGCTTGGTTTCAGATGGTTGGTAGGTAGCCAACATTTTTATATGTGCATTCATATATATTTTTAAAAAAATTTAGGTTTGATGCATGATAAAAAAATAATAGAGTAGCTTCTTTTGTAGGTTATTTCGTAATTCAATAATTTATGAAAACATTATTATAGAAAATGGCGCGAAAGTGGCGATAGTGATAATGAAAAGTGATGATACAGAAGATGACGTTTGGATGTAAAAACAGTATTCTAAAATTTTAATTTTTTCATCGGTCTTTCGTAATATTTGCATTGAGTAAAGTCATCATTACCATTTTTAGTAACGCGTAATATTCAAAAATGATTTTATTATCTGGTCAGTTACATATTTGATTGTATCGTTTTATTATTATTATCTCGGAAAAAGCGTTTCTTTTCCATATCATGAACAATACACAACGTGTATATAACAAAAAAATCCGGAAATTTTTTGTTCTTTCTAGCAGTCAATTGGCCATTACATTCTATATAGAGGACTTATCACAAAGACTGTTGATTTAAAACGGATTTTTGAAAGTCAATTATTTTAAACACAAAATCTATTCATAAAGACCTCAACTTAAAATGTGTCATTAATTATATAATAATAATTATTCAACAATGTTCATATATCGAAACATCAAAATTTTTGGTAAGTTTGTTAAGCGAGACATAGAGTAATGAATGTTAAAGAATTGGAATGAAATTTGGCAAATTAGTGAGAAATGAATTTGCTGATTTTTATAATTGAATTTTTACTAATATTAAAAGCAATTAAAAATAAGTTTCATATAAATTTATATTAATAGAAACTCCTGATTTTCAACTTTTTTTATATATTTTTTTTAAATCCTTTTCATTCAATCGTTATTGAGAAACAAACAAATAAAGATTTTCAGTTCCAACCTTCACACAAAATGTGTATTGTGAGATCGTGTCTGAGTCTCAAATGATGATGATTTGTTTAATACCAATAATATTAATACGATAATACATAGTCCAAATAACATATTAAAATTTTTCAAGCAACATAAACTATTTAAAAGCCATTACTTTATCAACAATTTTAATTGGGGAGAAATTGGAAGTTTCCGAATGTATGTTGACTTTCTTGATGGTGTAAAATATTTAGAACGCATTTTGTAATTTTCAGCCAAAAGTTTCACTTGTTCCTACAAACAAAAAAATTATATCACATGATAAAATGCGACACATTGTATACCTCCAATGCAATTAAATGTGTCAATGTAGATCCTAAAAGTGGAACTGATGGCTTGTCTATTATAATTTGTGTTTTCATAAAAGGCCATGTTCTGTAAATGCCATCATACTCGAGGTCCATTACAAAAGATTCTATTGTATCGCCTAGATTTCAAATGAACAATCCAATGAATTTATTATAAAAGATATAAGATTAAAAAAACAGCTCTATCAGGACCATTCCTTCCGATCTATCAAGTCATTAATGGTTTTTTTGCCCTGTAATTAACCTTAATGTAATCTTTGCTTCTTTGGAGCTTTGTAAAACCCATTGGCTTTACTTCTGAATTTAATATCGGAAGTTGATCTATGCGACATACAAAATCTGGTCTTTTATTAGTTCCATTAACATTTCTATTCAACTTTAAATTGTAACTTTTAAATGATCCACAGAATATAGGTTTCAAAACAGGATTCAGATAAAAAAATGTGTTCATCTTCCGATAATCTCATTGGAGCAATGATAGAAAGATCATCACATCTAAAGGATGTAAATAAAAAAAATTAGTTAGCTTTGATTTTTTATTTTTTGATCTTTCTTTAGTAATGACAAATAAGTTGAAGACAACTTACAGATCAACAAAAATCTTTTTAATTATTTTACTATAAGGTAATTTTTGATCAGGCTCAAAATGAGCATCAACACCAATACTCCTTTTAAATGTTGTGTCATTCAAATAAGAGGATAGAGAAGAACCTAGAACAGGTTTCTTAGTGTTAACAACGGTTTGCACAGAAAATTTTCACAATTACAATAGTAATTAATTCGTCGCCCGTAATTAATTTCGCCACCTGTAATTAATTACGTAATTACGTTTTTAAAGAGTGATAGTGGTAATTAATTACGAATTACTAATTACCATATCATGTATAGTCAGTCATATGTAGTTAATTTAATCGTCTTTATGCATTGTACTAGAATAAATGGATCAGCACTAATGCAACATGTTAAAGGTCCAATCATCTAGTTCTAATTTATTCTAATTAATGTATTCCCTAAACATTATTTGAACCTTCTGTGTAGAATTATTTTCTAAAGTGATCAAAGCATTTAAATTCCTTCATTTAAATTAAAGGTCCGTTTACGATTTAGAATAATAATTCCGTGGGTTAATTATTTTTATTATTATTATTCGTTTATTACAGTGATTGAGTAACAATATCAAATTGATGGATTCTTGATCAGTATTAGTATTTTCCGTAAATTAATGTATATTCCAAAAAGAATATATTGACTCGAGGAAAGCAAATTAGTTTCTCAATTATTAAAATTATGTCCACCGATCGAAAATACAAAGCCACGATCAAATTTGTGAGACCCAAATTGCTAAAATGAACCTAGTTAATTATACTCGCAACTTTTGTTTGAATTTATTTCACGGTTGCATTTTACTAGGACTCTGACCAGTTTGTTAACTACTATATATTTATTTAATTTGGGAAATCCTATTACTATAAAACTCCGAAAACTCCGATATAAAACCTTTGAATGTCCGTTAAAAATAGAAAATCAGCCATTTTCTGGATCAAAAAAAACTTTTTGGTAAATGGGAATGCCAAGCAGATTTTTATAATGAGTGAATTCTTTGTAATTGTTTATTATTATATTTAATGCAAATCTTTTTCTTGGTATTATTGTGTTACGTCCTAATATAAATTTTAATTTAAGATAATCACTATTATGCGATCGTTCAGGGTACCACTTTACCATTTAGTACGCACTAATATATATTAACAAATCAAATAAGGATTCACTATTACAAAATAATTCTATTTATAGATAATTTTATCATCATTTTTGTATATAATATTTCAATTGAGTTAATTATGCACTATCTATATATGGTATTAAAAGTAAATATAAGCACTAGGGTTTAACAAAACTTCTTACTCATTAATACTATTATAATAGTCTTTAGAAAAAAAAATAGAGTTATTAGAAGGAAAATTATTACAAGCCTAGCTATTTAACTATTCTATTTCTTTATTATTTACTTTCTTTAAAAATTTGTTGAACGAATTAAATATTCGTTTGTATTAATATTAAATTTCGAAAGCAAATAAATATATACAATATATATATATATATATATATAATATATTTTCACACATACATATATAAGATGAAACCATTACTATCAATAATCTTTATAACATTAACTATTGTCATATCAGCAATTAATTCACAAGATGCTGGATGCATTGATTTCCTAAATCCTTTAGACGTATCAGACAGAAAACATGTACCCTGTCCATATGTGAAAACTAAACCTTCAACTTTAAAGTTTCAAGCAGGTGATAATATGTTTGATATAAGATTTGCATGCGGTACACAAGATAAAGTGTTGTGTGATAAGGCTCGTAAAGGTTTCGAAGCTGTGGGAAAGGTGATTTCTGCATCTATTATTCTCAAATCCAAAATTGTTATGAGTGCGAAAATAGCGCCTTTTGATGATCCTAGGATATTAGGTATGTGGAACGAACGAACGAACGAATGAATGAATGAATGAATGAATGAACGAACGATTGAATTAATTAATTAATGAATTAATGAATTAATGAATACATTGTATTAATTTACTTTTTTTAAAACTCCTATTTAACCTTAGGTGCTGCTGGACCAGCACGTGTTATGCCTTTAAGCGATCCTACTGATAATATAAAACGTTTATATCCGCAAGCATTAGTAAAACAATTTTCACTAACTGACGCACCACAATTTGGAGACATAGATATTGATGCACAATTTAATTCCGGTAAAGTATAATGCAAATAATACAAAATAACATATAGATTCAGAATGCATGATATTAATACATCATAATGGTTTAATAGGTGCAAATTTTTGGTTTGATGGAGATCCACCAATTGCGGCTAATCAACCAAATTTTCACACAGTAGTTTTACATGAAATGTTTCATGGGATGGGATTTTTTTCAGGTTATAGAGATTGGATGAATATACTCGTCAATAATAACCCAATTCTTGATCCAGTCGTCACTCCAATGCCAACTTTCCTTAACGAGAACCCTATAGTATTTGGCGAATTTGTTGAAACTATTTTTGATAAACAAGTGAGAATACTTACACAAAACAACAAAACACTTACAAAGTTAACAACCGAGTTCAATACATATGTTATACCAAAGACGACTTTTATTGATCCCAATGATTTCATAACCAAATTCAAAGCTTCACAAGCATATACATCGGGCAAGTCATTTCTCCAAACTGCCCAAACTCCAAAATCATTGCTTTTTGTACCAACTGCCCCAAAAGCCAACGTACCGGAAGGTGGTTTCTTGGAGACTGCTATCTCTTATCAACGAGGTTCAAGTGTTAGCCATTTGGATCAAAAAACTTATACAAATACTCCTGATTTCTTGATGAGACATTCCCTGGAACCTGGTGCTACTACTGATAAGTTGATTCAATTGGGTGGTAATTACAGCGGCGGTGCAATCGGTCCTTTGTTACTTGACATAATGTCATCAATTGGGTAAGTAGATAAATAAATAAATATATATATATATATATATATATATGTATGTATATATTCTGTGTGTGATTATCATAAATATCCAAATATATACGCAATGTTTGTTTACTATTATCATCATCATCATCATCACCATCATTATTAGATATGCAACGGTCGATAATCCAAAAGCTCCAAATAATCCAAAACCTCCAAGCACAAATCCGAATACACCAAATAATAATCCTACTAGTTCATCAACCAAGTCGATAAACATGATAATAAATTATCATTATGCATTTGTCATATTGTTATTATCAGTGATTTATAATTTGTAATTATTTTTTATATTAATTTTTAGAATTTATTTTTGTAATTTATTGATTTTTAATACATGTGTGCCAAATTTCAAAGACGTTTTCTTTGAGATTTGTTTTAAATATAAAGATGGTGGTTGGTTGAAAAAGGCCAAAATAAATTTTTGGTCAGGAAATAAATTTTACATAATATATTTTATTAAAATTGAATAAACATTATTCTTATAATTCACTGGCAAGATATTGGATGAACACATCAATATTATTGTTGATTTAATAAGGAACAAAAAATCACTGTTGACAAATTTCTTTTTTGAAAACCAAAGAATCTTTCATTTTTTTAAATTGTTACTACCCTAGCATTACCCTTGTATGAACTTCCTAGAACTATAACGTTACAGACCCAACCCACTTCCACTTGAGAGTTGATCGAATCATGTTATACTTCAGATATATATGTGAATGTGTGTGTGTGTGTGTATGTTCGTATAGAGAGCAGTTGGATCGCATGAATTTGTTTTAGGATATCAGCTAAATCATCTGACAAATCACCAGACAACCCAATCCAAAATTTGATCTTTTCTCTGCAAATGCTCAGATATTTTATTAATGAATTTTTCCTCTCAAACTTTCTTTATACCTCATCACTATGGAGGTCACAACACAAAGATTTGCTGCCAGTAATCAACTCTTCATCAATAACGATAAATTCCATACTAACAATTAGGAAAGTTGTAATGCTTCGAATATATTTGGCTGCGACATCAACAAGTCCGTCCGTCAAGGGCCAAAAATTGGACAAGATGCACTGAAAAAAATTCATTATTAAAATAATTTTACTAAAAATAATCTTGGTCACAGATTTACATAAAACTTTTGCCAACTTATTTATATTTTATTATTATTATATATATATTAATATGGGGATACTGCATTGTGTCACAAAGAAGTTTCAGGGATCAAAACCTACTATTCAAGTATCTCATTAATGGCAATGAACAAAAACTTTGTTAATCTCAATGGGACCGGATAATATCTTATTTTCTTCAAATATTATCTCTATTGATGGATCGTCAAAGTTCGACCTGCAAATTAGAGCAGGCTTTACATAAAATCATTGAAGAGTATGTTTACGCTAAACAACTAACAAGCAAGAATTCCAAGACGATAAGCGAAAATGAATCGAAAAGAATTTAATCAAATTGATGGGTGGCATCATTTGAAAAAACCTGTCGAGGAAGAAGAGAAAACGGATACAAAGACCACACATAGAATACTTATCCGTTTAGATTACTAATGCAGATTGATTAACTAACCCTGTTATTGGTTCCAAAAAAATGTAACATGAAAATGTAATTATAAATGTGCATGATGATTTTGCAAAGTCGTAGTAGCAGGAGACCGGGTAATATTTAGAAAAAAAATGGACTATCTGGTTCAAAATCATATTAATATATTTCAAGTCGTCTTTTCTTCCATCATCTATTAATAGTTATCGTTTGCTTTTCATCTTCTAATATATACCGATTGCGATGTTATTTATCTATTTATTTCCTTTCATCTCGTTGTTTTGTGTAAATGATATATTGATCCTTCTTTTCTCGGTGCTCATATTATTATTGCATAGCATTGACTAGCTTCTGTTTTTCATTATTCTTATTTCAATCAAGGCAAAAAGCACGAAATACAACTGGGGTTTATATTACAGAGCTTGATGCCCAATGAAGTTAATCAAATTGTTGCAAGAAAAATGGCTTCGGGGTTCTTGTATTGACTTTTGTAACCAGTATCAATTGTTACCGTTGTGACCGTTTTGTATAAAACATTTAGAATCAGGTAAACGAGTAGAAATCGCGAACAAAAATTTGTTTCTGAAAAAACATAGCGGATGGGATGAACGGTTATTTGTGTGTGTTTTCTAGTGAATGGACTGTTCCCGTTGTGGTGGCAAAACATCTCTTCCCATGTGGTAATAGCTAGTTTCATGCGCCATTTACCTATTGTCACCACTTTTTGATAATTATATGAAAGAGAAAACCTAATCTGATCTCACGCGTATATTATTGATTTTTTTATTACGCGTCCATTCCATTAGCAAGTTTTTAACTACATCTCAAATATCAATAGCGATTGATGATTATATTCTCTTGTTGAAGCTGTATGTTCTGATAATCGTATTTCAATACGACCTAAAGATATTTTATCAAGTGAAATCGTTTCATTAACATATATATTGCAAATAGAACCCGGGATTTATTTTTGTTTCGCCAGTTGGGCAGCAAGATTTGTTAAAATGAAAATAAATATATATATATACCTTACCAAATGCAAAAAAGGTCCTATATATAACCAACTTCCTAATTACTTCTAAAATAGAGGCTGGGAATCAGTTTATATTGTTGCCCAGTTGATTGAGTTAAAGTCAGATGACGGGTCAGTTTATATATATATATGTATCGATAGTTGTTTCAATAATACTTTACATTTCATAATGATTTCAGGTTGTATTTTTGAACATAGCAGGGTATTCGATTTTTTAAAAAAATCTTGGTCATGTTACACGTTCTGGATCACATATTAATATTATTAAAGTTCTGATTGGCTAATTTGAATGAATACATATGAACAAGTAAAAAAAAGAAATTTTTATTTAATTCAAATGAACCTGCCTGCACCAATTTTTAATCGGTGCTGTGTTATGTTACATTCTGATAAATATTTTTATTAAATACGCCCCCATTAAATCTAATCGATGGAATAACATTTCTTGGAAATCAATCTTTATTCCATTCTGAAATGTAATTTTTCGTTTTGTCCTGTTCCCCATCGAATGGCATAATTCCAAATATCAATTTCGTCTAATGTCAAACCATCTCTTTCCAATATTGATATATTCTAAGCATTGATTTTTCAATTATTGCAAGATAGTTTGACTTTAGAATTGATGCTGGATCTTCTCCAAACAATTGATGTCTTGATGAAGTTTTATAAACGTAATTTAAAATTTGGTGAAACCATTCATTTTTTTCATTGACTAAATATTTTTCTAATTCATCAATCTTTGCATAGTCGAAGAAATGGCTATTGAAAAGTCATAAATATACAATTAAGTAAAAGTACCGATAATGATAATTTTATAAATATTTATCAAGCGATAATAATAAAATTAACCCTTACGTTAAAAGAACCGCAACAAATATATTTGGAGAAATGGTTTTTTCCTCAAATAAAATAATTGCATTTTCACATCTTTTTACCCAATTTTCTGATAAAGTTATATTATTAAAATATAAAGATCTTGCTTTTAAAATTGTAGAATGAGCTTTAAAAGTTTCTTCTTCTTCATCTCCCACTGTGATATCGTGTCTATTAAAATCGTTTTCTGCGTCATGCCTATTTTCGAACTCTATTAAAGCGATCCTAAAATCAATCAAATAAATATTTCCAAGTAAATATATATAACCTATTATTGATTTTTTGACTAGAAAAATTTTCGATAATTACCCTCCTCCTCTGCTATTATTTAGATCAACATTCAAACCCCCATATTCTTGAAACATGTTAGGCGCATTGTGTTGAAAAAGCAGAGGGAACATATTGATAACACGTATAGTTGTAGTATATGGTATGGATGATTCATTATATGTATCCTCGCCCGGCAATGGACTTCCTTTTCTTTTACCTTTATTATTATTTCTTTTAAATGATAATTTACGATAATCAAAAAATGGTCGAGTTTAAAAATATAACAGATGATAGTAGATATAATATAAAATAGAAGCTGCTAACTAACCTTCTGTTCATAACAAATTTTTATCGAGAAAAAAATTTTATCCACAGGAAAAACTTTAACCAAGCCAATAAACAATTAGCTAATGAAAGTTTGAGAATTCCAAAAGGCCAGCAATTACAGAAAGAACTCCCAAGAAATAAAAGCAAAAGTGAGATTTTACGAATTAATATTATTAATATTGATGATTGAGAGAAATTTTTTTTTATAATATTTATATACGAAACTCCCAGATGACAGATGAGATAAATTTTACACAATCTGGTGTATCTGAATATTAATATTGTTCTAATGGCGTACATGCAGTAATTAACAAACCGGTTTTACGACTGGTAATTTTTACGAACTTTATTTTAAGATAATTATGATAATTTAAGATTGTGGGATGTACTTCAAGTATCCCAAGTATCTTTCTTAAAAAATAATTGACCTCAAGTCTTGATGAATGTGATTCACGATGACTTGATGGACTTGGTTCTTGTTTTTCACGAAAAGACCTATCAATGCCGAAACTATTGATGTGGCACTCTGCCCCTAAAAAATGATATATGCATTCATTTTGTCTCAACTGAATTTTCTATCGGGAAACTTGGAGTTAGCTGGTTGTCTTAGGATTACGGAGGCAGTGAACACCCTATATTAATTACAGGGGAGTTTACAGTAACATGAGCCAGATTTATTATTACTTTTGCAAATGATTTTTAAAGAACTCGGCAATTATAAACCAGAAAGGAACCCAGAGACAAAATGCATGACAAGGCGATGGAACTCCCATCTTACATGGGGCTTGAATTAAAAACACTGTGTGTTCCTGGAATCGGTGTATAGGCGCAGTCGAATTTCATTATAAAAATCTGCAACGCAAGGTAAAAGAAAAAGAAAGTAATTTTTTTGCAGCTATCCAAGCCGTTTATTCTTGTGGGAGTATGCTCTTTGTCAACCATGTAGAAGCCTCGAAAAAAATGAATATTGAAATATTGGTAAGATCCTACCAGCGCACAAAAGGTACTCTAATTTGCTGGTTTTTCTGGTATAATTTTCATTTTTCCCGTGAACATTTTTTATTATTTCCGACGAGCATTTTCATCCCATTTCAGTCGCATGACATTTCCCACCGATCTATGGCAAAATTTTATAATCGAATGTATTCACACCCTCATTTGATACCCTTGCCGTGTAACAACCACCATCAAATTTGAGATATAACTTCTTTATTATATGTATCTGCTTTAAGAAAATTTTTAAAGGCAGGTTGTTAATAAACCGAAAATAATCTGACCTCAAAGTCAAATTTTGTCATTATATTCATATATGTAGAATTTTGTTTGGCGTGTCCAATTGCAAGTATAAGTAGAAATAAATGTCCAATATTACATTATTATGACTATTTACAGATTTTTGATCTCTTATATAGTAAAATCATTTATTTCAAAAGTAAATAAATAAATGATATTAAAATTTTCTTTACCTATATACATAAATAATGATTGGAATAATAAACAAGCAACAATAATAATTAAAAGGTGTTTTATCTCTGACTTTATACATTTAATTATTTATCATAGAGACGTTATTAAATATAAGTTAAAATAAAGAGAAATTTATATACATAAATAAATAACAAATATAACTATTGAATGATTGATAAACCATTCGTTAGTATATTTTGCAAGCTTCATATATCTTGACCTTAAGACTTACTTTGATCACTACTATACAAACTATTGGATAATTGATAAAACATTGTTAGTATATTTTGCAAACCTCATAGATCTTGCCCTTAATGCTTACTTTGATCACTCCTATGAATAATTGATAAACATTCATTAGTATATTTTGTTCATAAATCTTGCCCTTAACACTACTTCAATCTAAGGTTGCTTGCCGAAACTCCTCCAGAAATCAATCAGCAGGTTACACATCAATTGTTTATTAGAGTTTTGGCAGAGTTTTGCATTTTGAGGTTTCACCATTTCAGAATAGTTTCAACAGGATTTTTGATAAGAATTAATATAGTTTGCTGTGGTTTCAGCAATTACTAAGGAGGTTTTGCCCACAACCTTACTTCAATCACTCCTATACAATTAATTATTGAATAATTGATAAAATGTTTGTTAGTATATTTGCAAGCTTCATAGATCTTGTCCTTAATGCTTACTTCCAACTCCTACATAAACTGGATCTTAATCTTTATTATCATCATCAAAAAATGATGATTCATTGCATCAGGAAAATGGGTACAAATATTATGCATATATAATATGCAATTGCAGGGATTAAGCATATAATATATGTACAATCTGCATACATAAAAAAATACGCAATTTGTACGCATATTATGCTTAATCCCTGCAATTGTGTATTATATACACATAATATTTGTACCCATTTTCCTGATGTTGTTGTCATTTGTTATTTGTTGCTACCAATATTATTGTTTAATGTTGCTATAACAACTATTAATTGATGATATTTGTAATAAACTTTAATCAATATAAAGTCAGAAATATTAAACAATCACTAATAAAATACCTTTTAATTTTTGCTGAATCCCATCTACATAAAATTTTTCATGACTATCAAATTTCTATAAAATAGTTTTACATGAACCTCTCTAAAACTTATTAACCAATGCCCCATAAAGTAATAACTAAAGATGTTAGCCGAAATTGATTTTTTCAAAAACCATTTCGGCAGGCAATTTCAGATTTACAATATTTTTCATAACAATAGACATAAATAAACTACCCAGAATTTTGGCTATTGGGCTAAAGTGTTCAAATAACTTCGAATATAATTTCAGCAATTAATAAATTAATTTTGGCGACTATGAAAAACTATTTCAGCATTTCGGATTTGGTGATGATCATTTATTAAGAGAGCCAATTTCGGCTAACATCTTTAGTAATAACCATATGAAAGCTTAAAGTATTCTACACCTTCTCATTTACTATCAAGTCTTTTAAAATGATATTGAGAAATAATCTGAGCTTTGAAGTGGAAAGTAATCCCATTTTTGAATAGCTGTGAATTCATGTAGAGAAGACATTTTGATATGAAAGGTTATTCATTAGAAAGCTTTAATGGAGTCTTTCATTTTATTTTAACAATGAAGTTCAAGTTTATTATAAAAATAATGAGAACATATAGAAAAGCAGCCTCAGGGATATGTCACACAACTACTAATATAATTTTTTCTGGAAAAAATCTGTACACTTTATAGTAATCATTCTATAGCAATAAAAATTGTAATTAATACAGAATTTACATATGCAAAATTTTCTATAAAGAAGAGTTGTGCAATAAAGTTATTTTGGGGAAAGCCCCTAGCTGTGTGTGGATATTGAGAGAATTGAGTATTGAGAACTCCTAGCTGTGTGCAGATATGGAGTATAGAGTGAGAATTTGAGCAAGAACCCTGAGCTGTGTGTGTTTACAGGGAAATCTATATATTATTGGACTCTATATTTATATTTTATCTTATATAGTTGGCTTGGTCTAAAGACCTCCTAAATTTTGGGCAAATTTTAAAAGTATAGAAGTCATTTTCTGTCCTACCTTTTAAAAAAATAGCTCTATTATTTGATAGAATATTGGGGTGTGAGATGCCCTAATTAAATCAAAATTAAGTAATGTAATATAATGCCGATCAATAACAAACTTTTTTTTAAAAAATACGAGTATATATAAAAACTATATAAA